TAAAGCCACTAAGATGCAAAGGGTTACTGGGTGTTGGAGAATGTGAAGAGAACAATAAAATAACAAGAATTAAGAAGACGGAAAATAACGATTGACATTGCAGTTAAATTTTTGAAAACCAAAGTTAACTGTAAAGTAAGAAGCTGGAAGAGAATTCCACAATCAAGAAGTGTGATAGAAGAAACTGTTAGCATAGAACTTATGGTTACATCTACCCATTTCAACTGTAAAATGATGAGACCTTGCTGCCAATCTAAATTCATAAAGTTTAGGTACCATAGAGGAAGGTTTATCAGAACATGTACCATAAAAGTATTTATAGAAAAGGCACAGGGAAGCTACATTGGAGAAGTGGAAAAGTGACTGAAGCCAGGATGCCAGGTTAGGGCCAATAACATTGCAAAATCTTCTTTGAATTTTATCAAGAATCTCTAAATATATAACAGGAGCACCAGACTATATATGCTAGCAATATTCAAAGCAAAAATGATTGGTAGACTATGTAAGATTCTGACCAGAAAATTGTCTAGCATGACACAGGGAAGCAGTTTTCCTAGCAGCAGATGTAGCAATTGATTCAATATAATTTTTCTAGTTCAGGTTAGTGGAAAACTTTAGTCCAATACAGCGCAATGAATCATTATCCTGGTGTTTAGTAGCAGCCATGCTAATGGAAGGTAAAAAGGGTTCTCTCAGACTATTAAAAGAGATCAGTTTCATTTCAGAAGCATTAAAATTAACAAGCCATTCTTTGCCCTAGTTAACAACAGAATGTAGATCATTTTTGAGATCAGCTGCTAATTTGACATATCTTAATAAGACAGCCACAGAAATATGAATTCTTTTTGTTTGTATGTAAATGTATGCCTGGTCTGACCAAAGAGTTTATTAATTAAAATTAAAAAAATAATATATAAATAAACACTCTTAAAATTAAGCCAAAATTAAATTATTTATTTACTTTTAATGTCTCCAAAAACAGAATGTTATTGGCTTTGTTAACTTAAAATAAATCAGGACACAACTGGTCCACTTATAAAAATAAAAAAAAAAGTTTGCCTGTTGTCAGGTTCACAGTCTTCACAGGTCTTTTGAATAGGAGTAGAAGTTTATCCCTTGTTTCCTGTTTAGGATTGGGTTTCCGGTTCCTTCTAAAGTCTTTTCATTCTCTTTCACTCTTAGTACCGCCTTGCATTATAGTGGCATTATTGCCATGCTTGGGGTGAACTGATTAAAAAAAAAAAATTAGCATTCTTAAGCCCTTTCTCATGTCATGACATTTTTTTTTCATCCTAAAAGTAGATTCCTGAGTTTCTACAATTATCTGGAATTGTTCTGCATACAAAAACATTTTTTTGTTAAAAAGATTTCTTTTAAATAAAAATATTTTAATTAAACAGATATATACCTTTTTATTTAAGACTAGCAGTAGAGCCCGGCGTTGCCCAGGGATGTAACAGTAAGAGATAGATCAAGTATCGACCATCATAAAGACTGAAAAATAAAATTGACAAAGATTATTGTTTAAGGTTGACAGATCCACATGTCTTAATTAGTGTTTTTTGGGTTTTTTTTACGGATTGGTCAAACCCAAACTCAAACAAAAACATTGTTTTCAATCGTTATGAGTCTATCGATTGAATAGAATTTTATTATAAACAATTGTCTTGTAAATGTAATTTTTAAAGTATTCTGAATGTAAAAATAAAGAAAAAAGGGTGCAAGACAATAAGAAACACTACCTGCCAAAAAATAGTGAAGTTTTGTTGAAATTGGTTGAAAAATGTCGGAAATCCATTCCCATATATAAACGAACACACACAGACATACAAACAACCTGTGTTTTATAATAAGTATAACTCGATATGAGTTGTCCCCCTTTCGTTCTGGCGACAGAACCGTGTTTTCAAATTGATTTCGTGCAAAAACAATTGTGTTTTTTCTGATTTTTGGTGCTGTCAGAACTACCGCAAGGTAATTTTATGCAGTTCTGTGAAGTTTTGTTGAAATCAGTTGAAAAATGTAGGAAATCTGATCCAATATATAAACATACAGACACACATACACAATCTGCATTTTATAATAAGTAAGATTTGAATAAAAATTTACATAAATTAATAAAGTATATATCCATTCATTCTTCATTTAAGATAAATAATTATTATCCCCCAGTGTCTGTGCATGGACTTCCAAAAAAAAATTCCCCCACACAAAAAGTTTATAAAAAAAAAAACTTAAAATATTCAGGAAAAAATATGCAGAATATCAATAATGTAAGCACAGTTTCAAACTTGACATTTGTATATAACAGCTATATCCAATAACTCTGTAAAATGTCAGGGATATGATTTTATACTGTATCAATGCTCCCTTCTAAATCAATAAAAAAATTGTCAATTTTTTATTTTAACAATTGTTGTGGCTTCAGGAAGGTTCAACGAATATTCATCTACAAAAATTATTCCCTGAAAAATTTTGCTTATTTTTTTTTATGAGTGGATTAGCCTATTTAAGTAGTGCCAAAATCAATTAGAAATTCAAATATATCCAAGTTATTTATTTTCATATTATTTAAATTCTATAAACTAACATAGTATGCCAGATTATTTACATATGTATCAGGATTTCTGCATAGGATCAGAATATATATATGAACTTTGCCTCCGATCAAAGTGTCAGCTTGTTGTAGACATCAACAGCTTATCTATCGGTTTCCATTTGACAATAGAATTTGGAAAAGCAAGGAAGGGAAAGAAGGAAGTTGAGAAAGGTGTGCCATAGGAAAGAGATAAAGAAAGCAAGAAAAAAAAGAAATGAAAGGAGAGGGTTGAAGGAAAGAAAGATATAACCAGATAGGCTTGCTGATTTAAGTTTTATTACTTCTTTAAATGGTGTAATTGTTAACAAGCTTGCTTTACTAGGTTCAATCTTCACTCGGTGCTCCATACCTGTGGCCATGTGCCATAACTAAGCTAAGCTTAGTAAATCACTAAAAATGGTAGTGAAGCTCAATTTAATATCTATCTATACACACATACATTGTATATGTAATTAATAAAATGATTAAAATAAAATTTATCTTTTTTTTCAATCTGTATTCACTTGGATAGAAAGGGCACTCAATCCTGAGCAGATTTTATATAATTTATGACATATTTAGACAGCAAGTTATATATATTAGTTATATATTTAGACAGCAATGCTGTCCTATTGGGTGGCATTTAAACTAGTTCCTGTGGATGGCTCTTGATTGAGCCTTCATCACAATAAGTAGGGAGAAGTAGATGTGATAGGCAACAATAAACTACAGAACTCAAAATTGATTGATGCATTTAAGTATTGCATTAATATTTAAGCTTACCTTTCAAAAGTTCAATAATAATTCTTAAAGACAATTTGATGTACATAGGTTCAAACAAGCAATTATTTTTATTTCATGGGTGACTTTCATTGGATTTTGCAATTTTGATTATTCCCAAATTTATTCTCAAGTTATAAAAATTGTTATCATACAAAAAAAAATGCCACAAAAAAATCACTTAAAAACAATCGCCAAAAACCATCACAATAATGAAAACTTGGGAATCCAAAATTTCAGGATTGTGGGTCTGGATCCAGCTTGAAATGTTTTTAATTTGCTCACAGAATTGGCTTGATTCCAAAATGGTATATGTTGGGCTATGACCTCTAATAGTAAAGTCGAAAATGTGTGATACAGTGACATTCACATTTATTATATAGATTAGAGTTACATATATTTAGACAACAATATATATGTATTAGTTACATCTATCTAGACAGCAAGAATTCATTTAAATTGTGTTTTATTAAATTAAACTGAAAGGTTCCTTTGTTTAATCTTTTTTTTTTTTTTTTTAATCATTTCATCCTGAGCAAGGCAATAAATCTGCTAATATACAAGGGGTTATGGAGTATGAAGAAATACAAGCAAAATAAAAACTTTATTAAGGAGAGAGAACAATAAAGGAACAGAAATTAAGAAGACAGAAGATAACAATTGACATTGCATTTAAATTTTTGAAGATCAAACTTGACTGGACATCTGTCATTGTATTTATCAAGTTATCGCATATCAACACCAAAATTGTGAATAAACTACTAAAAAGCTCCTATTTTTTTTCTGTTTGGTTGAAAGTACTCGGAAAAGAATATGAACTTTGGACAGTTCATTGACATTTTTTATCTTGATGGACAACAATTTATTTGAATATATATATATATATATATATATATATATATATATATATATATATATATATATATTTTATAAAGAAATTTTATTTATATACATTTTTTAGATGCAAATATTTAAGTAAAATATTTACTTAAATATTTGTATCTATAAAAAGAATGTATAAACATAAAAATGTCTTAAAATAATTGTCGGACTTTGTCTATTTAATAATATGTATGTATATATATATATATATATGTGTGTGTATGTATTCTTTTATTATTCCCCTCCTGATCCAATAGTTTTTTTTTATATATACTATATTTACTCAACACAAGGCCAAGGATCCAGTAAAAGTAGAGGGTTACTTAATGAGGTTGTTGTAAATGCATAAAAAGATGAAGTAAAAAATGCATATTATGAGGATATGTAGGATTGGTTGATCCAAGACTTGAAGAGGTTAACATTGTAGGGGGAAAGTATCTTTTCGAGAGTCTTTCAAATTCATGATCTCTTTTTGGTACCCAAGTTACCATTTAAGCCTTTTGTAAGAATGAATTTGAAATCCCAACTGAAATTCTGAATTTTGCAATGTGTCATTACTTTTATCGTCATCTTTGTTGTGTTTTACCTAAACATTTTAATTGGTTCATCTTTTGACCTTCATGAGGTGAAATTTTGTCCCATATAGAGTCTGCTGATGGCCAATTCTGCTTAAGATTTCATCTGATTACTAATTACAAGTTGAATGATATACGCCAAATCAATCAATAATAGATTGACATTCTACACTACGCTGACTTGTAGCCACATCCTGTTGAAATGCTGGTTCCTGTACGATCACTGAAGTTAAGCAATGTTGAGCCTGGTCAGTACCTAGATGGATGATCACTTGGGAATACCAAGTGCTGTAAGTTTAGATATACAGGTGGTGTAATAGATAATGGCTTGGAATTGCTAATCAGAGAGCCAAATTTCTGTTCTCATTGGGTTCGTTATATTGCTTATGCACAACTACCCTTGGGAAAAGTATGAATTCATCTTTTCTGTCCAGGTATTAGTTAATTAGTAAGTTCTATGTTATCAATTGCTTTTCTTGCACTTCTGGCTTGTAGAACTCCCTTCCAGCTCCATGCTTTCCAACCAACTTTAATCTGCAAAAATTTAAATTCAATGTCAATTGCTATCTACTGTCCTCCTGATTACTCTTCTTGATCATTATTAATGTTTCGGTTCTTAATTCTTTCACATCCTGTAACCCCTTGTGTCTTAGTGGCTTTATTGCCTTGCATGGGGTGATACCAATTTAAAAAAGAAAAATTAATAAGACTTGTATCACTAAATAATTATCTTAAAAAAAAAAAAAAAGATTCTTACAATCTAAAAATATTTTCTGGCTTTGAATAACCTGCAAAGGGTTGATAAGCCATAAAAAATAAATGAATCACTCAATACATTGGACAATATTTAATTTGAAGAGGATCAGAGAATAATCCAGCTGAAACATTTTTTTTCTAGAAATACACCAACAAAGATATTCGTTTTTGACTAGTTTTTTTCTTTCATTTTCTTGTCTGTATAATCACAAATATGACAGTTTTACACTGTTTTAAATTTTTATCTGAATCATTGTCATTATTATTCTTTTGTGACTAAATTTTCTTTCATCTTATTTTTGTGAAATTTTATTGCATTACTTGTTTTTTTTTTTTTTTAATTCATTGAAATACTTTCTTTTTTTTCACCATGTTACTTGTTTAGTGGCTACATTGCAAAAAATGAATTGTGCTGAGATTAAAAAAAATTAAATTAAAGGAAAAGTACCCAAATATTAGTAACTGCAATGGCTTACCAAAGAAACTAAAAAAAAAAACCAGCTGTGTGTAGTCAGAAACATTTCAATATTGTAAAATTTTAAATTCTTTGATGTTTTCATCTCATAAATGTTACTACTACTACTATTATTATTATTATTAAAAAACGATTTCCACATGAAATAACCCAGAAAGGGTTGATATGTCATAAAACACTAATCCAAGCCATTATTAATGAAAAGCAACAGAAATTTAAATTTAAGATAAAAGAAATACTAGTTAAAAATTAATAATGGCTGTTTTTGAGTGATTTTGCTCAACATGTCCACACAATGTAAATTTGCTTTATTTATAAAAAAAATGCACAACTTTAAAAGTAAATTAAGTTGGGCTCTCTAACAAAATTAATGGTCATTATATACCTGTATTAATCTTTGCTTACTCTGACACAGGACCACAACCTACTCATGGTAGCTGGATTTCCTCAGGAGTCGGGTATTTAAGTCCTGAGTAGGTTCCATATTCTACTCATCTTTTAATTTGTCTGACACAAGGCTATAAGCTAAATTGCAATTATACAGTTGAACAATTTCCTGGAATTTAACCTGTAAAAACTTTAATTTTCATATGTCAAACAGTTTTGTAAGTCTTGTTTTGGGTTGTATAGAGTTTTTGTAGTAATAAAGACAATTTATAAAATATTACTTTTGTGACATATGGTAGCTGTTAACAACTCAAGACTTTAATGTTAAGATAAAACTGTATTTAATTACAACTGCAAATAAATACTTAAAAAAAACAAAGAAGTAAAAGTCAGCCAAAAATAATTAACCATTTCAATGAATACCTTTTGTTAGCCGCCTGGCTCGGCTTAACATCCGGTAAAATCCTAAATCAAAAACCAAATCATCGACACACAATAATTCACACTAATTCAACAGGATAGTTCCACTTAATAGTCACTCAATAATCACACAATAGTCACTGTAGTCAGTAGCCTGTAACTGCTATTTATACACCTGGTGGCAAACACACATTCATAAGTCCAGAGTGTCACACTCAAACCTTGGTGTCAGTAGTTACTCATTTTCTTCTTATATGACAATTACACAGTATAAAAATCACTTAATTATTGATATTTATTGAGCATAATTTAGAATAACACAAGTCCAGAGGGTATGAACTGTAAATAGGAAGATTGTGTTATACCAATTTTTTAAATATGGAGATCCTGTTTAGAATATGACCTTTCAAAATGACATGAGCTTGAACACCAACCTCCACACATTGAACTTGCACAATAGAGCAAAATGGGTATTCATGGTTTTTGAGCCCCTAGTATGATTTTCAACTGAATTATTAAATTGTATTAATATTATCTCTACTTAAGTGGGAAATTAAAACAAAACTTTCACATTTCTGATTAAAAAAAAAAAAAATATATATATATATATATATATATATATATATATATAGGTCTAGTAACCCCAGTCTGCAGTGAAGTCAAAATTTTGATAAGAGCTTAAATTTTCATTTAACCCATTTAGACCATTTTGTGGGGTGCTTAAAATGAATGCAGCACCCTTGAAGAATAAAGGCCTAGATCAGTGATTTTTCAACTGGCATGCCATAAGAAGATTGTAGGTGTGCTGTGAAAATCTTCAAAGGTCATTTATTAAATTATTTTCAAAATAAGTCCCAAGCACAATAAGTGTACACATTGAAATTAAACCCCATTTAAATTGATTATATGAGTATATCAATGTTATAACAAATAAACGTATACGTAATATATAAATAGCATGAGGTGTGTGAAATGAGGTTGCTCAATTTGACAAGGACTTGTAGATGAACATCCCAAGTTGATTTCGGAAATGACTCAGCAATCTCTCATCGTTCACCTATTGAATTTTGCTTGAAGTTACTTGTACTAAATGATATCTCATTAAATGTTAATTATAATAAACAGAAAATAAATATAAATTTTTTGTAGGAATTTTAATTATCTTTTTATTAAAATTATAATAAATTGTTTTGTTTGTGTTAATAGATAAACCTTAAAAAATATACTTTTTTTCTTTTTTTTTAACTTCTTTTTTGATCATCATAATTTAAGTGTGCCATGGAAGTTTAACTATAGGTTAAAGTGTGTGATCAATATAAAAAAGGTTAAAAACATTGGTCTTGATCAGGGGTTTCCAAACTTTTTTCTCTTGGTTGAAAACAAAAATTTGCTTGCACTTTACCAAATTTTATGTGATAAAAAGTACATTTAAAAATAAAAGAAATAGAACAGGTTAAAGGGAGATAACCGCGGATTTGAAGTTAGAACATTATCGTTGATAACTCTCTTCTCCAATTTGTGGACACTAGTGACTATATTCTTAATACTTGATATAATGCAAAAATATCACAATGAGAAAATCTGTCAATTATTTATAACTATTTATACTGGGACTCATGCATGCAATTACAAGTAATCCATAATAATATTTTTAATTTTTGAAATCATATTTATTTTCGGCATATGAATTTTTTTGAAACTGTTTCTAAATTTTTAATTGTCTTTCAATCATTCCACCTCACCTATCTTCTTCTGCCATACCTATGAGGTATGCTGTTTGGGAACCACTGATCTAGATCATAATTTTCTGATAAATACAAGGAAAGCTATGTTAAAAATTGATATTTAGTGTTCAGAATATGGTGCCAAAAGCAAGTAATAACCAATTTAATGTATAAAAGAGAACTGAGTACATTTTGAATATCTGCTTGATAACAATTTTCTTACATTTTTCAAGATCTAAATTGTTTTAATATTTGGGAACTTACACTAAAACAAGAAAAAAAATTGTCTTCGTCATTCAAAGTTGGAGTGTTGGAGACAAAATATGTTAAAAATGTGTTAATTTGATTGAATTTTGTGTTGTATGGCCCCAAAATCCACTTGATCTATGTCATTTTTTAAGAGTATCAAATTTAAATCCGTCATAACATTTCAGCAAGATTCCAATGACTTTTCCAATAAAAAGAGACAGAAAATACTATTATCCAGAACTGATCATGTAAAAGTAAATGATTAAGCATGTGTAAGTTTTGATTAACTTCAAATGATCATAATTTGACAAATACTTGTAGTTAGGACAAAGTAAGACCAGTTCTGAAATCCTGAGACTGTCTACTTTCAGATTAGATATACTACATAACAATTGGGAAATGTCTCAAGAATGCCAAATGCCTCCATGTAAGACCATTGTGCTCCAACTCTGGTAGGAAATGAATAACTATTTTACTCAAAAAATAGACTACTTTAATACTTACTAAATATCGATAGATACAGCATAAAATATTTGAAATGGGTGTAGAAAGATTGTATTGTACCAATTTTCTAAGCTGGGAAGTTACACCTGTCTTGAAAATCAGCAGTTTAAATACTTGATTTTATTTGATCTGACCTCTAGCACTGGTAGGAAATATGAAACTACTTCAGCTATGAGACAATCCAAAATAGGCTGTACTGATCTTCAAAGTCTGAAGGACCTGTCTTGAAGATGACCTTTCAAAATCTTGTTTTTATCTTACATGTTGGAAGAAAATACAAAATAATGTCAGCCATAAAGCACACCATAGGTCACTTGATTTTCAAGATGGAAAATTATGAGAAAAAAAAATCATTTCATATGCGTCAGTAAATTTGACATTTACAATGAGAAAAATTGATTTTGAGGAACTGGATATTGTTTCGTTAGACAAACTGAAGAAGGAAAAAAAAATTATCTAAACTTAAAAAATTTCTTTTTGAAAATTTTTAAAAATGTTGAAGACATGATTTTTTTTCAGGAAATATTTTCACTATTGTTATTTTATTAGTAGTTTTATTCCATTTAATTATTGTTACTTTTTATACCAACACTTTGGCTCAATATACTCTGCATTAGTACTATTATTTTATTAGTAGTTTTCACCCAGCTTATTATTGTTGCCTACAGCACCTGGGATTTACTGAGTACTGAGCAGGTTTAATGTTTTTTCTCATTTTTTTTATTTAGTAACTTTTTTTTGTGTGGCACAAGATTAAAATCTGCTTAAAGTAGTTAGCA